GGTTGCATCAAAGCAGCCTGCGGTGAACGCATTGCTCTAAGGAATTAGCGACAAAGAAATTTCTTTTGAATTCAAGGGCACCTCCGGAGTCCGAAATCGATATCTTACCAGTTTGCTACTTTCTCATTCAGCAAATTTTAAAGTAGCAGGACAATGACCACTGTTATCCTTTGTCCACTTTGACAGCGATATAAATCTACAAATTCTGACAAGTTACTATCACGGATTTTTAAGCCATGTTCTTCAAATCAGCGCGACGAAGGTAACTTATTTTCTATTTGCAGAAATCATCCGCTTAGCATCATCCAGTCTTTCCAGTTGATCGCTCAAAAGGCATAAGCTTTTTTTGGAGGGTAGTTTACACGACGTAAATTAATTTTTACCTTACTTTTCTTGAATTAATAATGACGGTTGCCCCGTTCTGTCTGCCATAGCTTATAATTATGACATGCTCCTTGCAAAAATGGAAAATGTTCTGTATGTCGTGGTTATCTTATTCAAAAACTAATACGAGTTATTTATTTTGAAGATTATTGAAATGCTATCTTTTGGTTGCTCTAAATGTTGTTTATATCAGAAGGCTGGGTTGGAACCGAGAGAATTCTTTCTTCAGCAAGTATTTGCTTTAAAAAGTCATGATGTCATCTGCCACCTTCTGACGCTAATGCTTCATTGATAAATCGTTTCAAGAAATTCATGGAAGACTCAGAATATATGCCTATAATCGTTGTTTAGACCATACGGTTGAGACTGTTGTGTGTAAGAGTATGATGTCTACAAAAAACGCAAGTGTATTTGAGAATTTCAAAACAATTGCACGGTAATCTGTCATATGATCCGCTAAACTAACCACGATCACACGACGTATTTAAAAACTCTGTTATTATTTTAAGTTTAAATATTATTAGATCATGAATGGAGAGGGATATTGCGCACAAATGGAATGTGTTCTAACGATGGCGTGAAAAACTTGATTAAGAATTTACTAAATAACAACTGGCATTATTCACTTTTGAAAATGAATCGTATTCAAAGAACGATCCAAAGGAACGTGTTCATTGAACTGTTAACTAACTATGGATTTTATATACAGCTAACTATATGACCAACGTTTAAATTGAATAGTAGTACACATCAAGCGCTTCGTAAACTGGAAGCGACTCATTATCGTTTTTC